TCAAACACACTTTTCATGCATGTAAACAGCAACGCAGCATACTGGCAACATGCGCCCACTCAAAACTCAGAGATATGGCTTTCAGATACGAGTTCACTCTCAATTGGCTATGGCGACTTCAGCGCCCAAACATCTCACTGTTCACATACACTGGATCACCCTGGATATCCCATACGCATCACTCTAACACTCGGACACACACACACTTACTACTAACTACAGCTATGGCAGCTGTCGCTGCATCTACCCTATCGCTACGCTAACTCCCTCTCTCTAGCCCACTGCGTCCTCCGGGCTCATCTGCAGACCTCCTTGCACAAGTCGCTGTGGCAGCGCTTCCGCATGGCTCACGCAGGAATGACTGAATGGCTGGGCGCTGCCTCTTGATTTGTACTTCAGAAATTCGTTGGTCTGCCCTTTGCCATCGGCCCTTGGTGCTCACAGTCCCCCTGTGGTACTTGCTGGACTGGACTGGGACTCTCTAGACCCTTCTGCTGACTGTAGGCAGTCGTACCGTCGACTCAGTGCAGTTGCACTGAGGTCCTACCTGTTGACCTTGCCACTTGTCTTCGTCTGAAAACGTGGGCCAACCTTAGACTCACCACTTGACCACTTGCCGACCTTCTAGAAGGACTAAAGCTAGGCCTCTGRACTSTACTTGGACTCCTACCTTACAGGTCTACAGTTCGAATCTCCCTACAGCCTACAACCTACGGCGACCTACTTACCACTGGCTATCGTGCAGGTCACGGGTTCAACTCCAGGGAACTGTGCAGATACTGTACACAGGTAAGCTGAGGTCAAAGGATCGACCCCTGGGATCTGCATCGGCTACTGCCAAAGGTGAAAACTGTTTCACCCCAGCTTATGTAGTGTTTAACTCGGAGGTCTGGCCTCCAGCCCACGAGTCGCAGTCGTCCAGATTGACCCGCCATCGAAGGTCTGGATCGCATACAGTTGCAGTTTTCCACCTGGCTTGGATGCTGTCCGGGTACCTGCATACAAACAAGTGTGTGTGCTTGACCGGCGGCCTGGTCTGGGTACACATTGATTTTGACCTTTGGAAATCCGGCAGTTGACTACGGTCAACTGCCTGGCGTCCAGGCCCTGTAGCAGACTTAGGGCCTTTGCCCCCTTATGTGGCCTGGACTGAGGGTTGCCGCGTTCGGCCCTCAGACAACATATGGCATCGGTTATTGCACCCCCCCCAAACCAGAATTTTATTGCAGATTCGGGGTCCTCTCACCGAGCACAGGAGGACCCCGCCTTCAAAAAAAAAATAAAAAAATTCTGGGCTGTTTTTTTGCCTGCCCGGTTTGCCCGGGCGGCCCACCCGGCCCCGCCCGGCTGGGCGGCATCCGTACTCAGATAAAATATTCATTAGAAATATATTTTTTTTCCTGCTGCGACTGCATGCAACTCCGCCCCGAGCTCCTGTCCCGCTGAGCAGCCAGATGTGTGTCTGTATGTGGCATTCATGCCCGGGTGTGTGGAAAATTAACCCAGGTTTAAACTCCAAAGTTCAAAGTTTAAACTATAACCCAACATTTTGTGAACTTTTCGCTCAGGCATACAGAAAATTAACCCAGGTTTAAACTACAACACATCCACGCCTTAGTTGCAAATACTTGTGTGGTTGTGAACAAATTAAAATCCTCACAATGCTTGAAATTTTATGACATTCTTTGGTACATGTTCTGAAAGTCTAATTGTTATGAAACTGAAACCCTTCCCAAACGCTTCGAAACTCAGATGGCAATCTTTGGTAGAAGCCTATTGGGCAAACATCTGAACTGGACTTTCTCACCAAAGTGCGATCTACAACATTGAACATTCCATATTACTTTCAACAACTAGTCTGGCCATTGAGCCATTGCCAGCACTATGACATTGGAATTTGCTGCTGGTAAATGTGAAAAGTCCAGGCTCCAGATGGATAGGCATTGTGAATAGGGATCAAGGCTCATCATCAAGCATCTTACCAAGAAGTCCCAATAGCCTTCTAGAATGGAGGCAAAGAACCTTAAAAAAATCAGCCTGCAGACACACATAGTCCCGGCCACCCACAGTCGTGTAAGTAGGGCAATCACGCAATCTCCAACCAGCTGAGAGAACACAAGAGGCTAATAGAACGTGTAAAAAAACTTTTGAAGTAGAAAACCTGACTACGGGAAGTATTCCTTCTATCTTCTCTGGCAGTCGATAAATGGAAGTTATGGAACACTCCGAAGTTCAAACAGCAACGGATTCAGAAAGCACACAACATGAGGAGGGAGAACTGTACTTACTGGTGACAGAAACAATACTTGAAATTTGAATTCCTTTGTTGAATTGGGATCCGAACATGGAGCTTCCTCAGGAAATGAGTGCAACAGGGCAAACATGCCTGCCAGGCAAAGTCTGAATGAACAATCTCCAAGGAGAGAACTTACCGCAACTCATCATCATGTGACGCATTCCACCGCTTCCTCAGTCTCTGGGAGCGCACATCCTGGCCGCACTGATGAGCTTTAGTGGCCCTGTCAATTGAAAGCAGATCGGGATAAACCAGCCGCGAGATTGATATTCGCAATTGCCCCAACTCTGGCTCAGGGATGGTCGGGATCTCCTTACTAAAAATAAATCGGTTACTATCCAAGTCCACTAAAACCAACTGCCCTTGCGCACACAGAGTCCCAAGAAATTGAGATGTACATGACGGAATACACATCACCCACACACACACACATGCACACACCACACGCACGTGCACACATACAACCACAAAGCGACCAGCAGACAACACCATCAGTACTCTATACTTCCAAGTTCTGACATGATACAAGAAACAGGATAAGACCACCGAAGCTCCTGAGTAATCCAGATGATAATATACAGGGTCTCAGGAAGAACCAAATCCAGTCAGGAACTTCAAAATTGATATCAATACACTTACAATGTAGGAGAGTTGCGAAGGAGAACACAAAAAACGTAGGAGTACAGGATTGTTCTCTCTGATTGGGAAAATACATCAGTTTCTTTAAGATAGGGGAAGGGAAGTGTTGCAAATAGTGTGAGAACAAGCGCCAAGCACAAGACAAGATTCCTTCTCTACCTCTATCTCTATCGTCTTGAAGCAAATAGAGGGTCTTGCGTGATGCTGTCCCCAGAGGCCTTTTTGCAGATGGGGCCGCAACCAAGTTGTTGTTGTTGTTGTTGTTGTTGTTGTTGTTGTTGTTGTTGTTGTTGTTGTTGTTGTTGTTGTTTTTCCTTGGGTGTTGGCGAGGTTGTTTTGTTGTTGGGTGTCATGTTTTTCTGCTTTTGTCGTTTTGCGCCTCGGCCATTTGGTTTTGCTGCTTTGTAGTCTTGCGCGTCAACACCGTGCACTGTGGACATGTGGCTATTGTCATTCAGGGCTACGATCTTCTTCTGGTCTGTTGTCTCGGCATACGGCCAGGTCTGCATTCGAATAGAACTAGGAGCGTTGCTGAAAATACAAGTACACACCTGAGGTGTGTGGATGAGCAGTAGAAATATGACTGTCAGTGAACAGGTCATAAGTTTGACACGTGCAAGGGAATCAAATGTAACCCACCAAAGGCGTTCAAGCACCCGCCGTGTGGATGAGCAATACAAACCTTACTGTTAGTAAACAAGTCATGAGTTCGGATTGCACTGGAATCATGCGTGTGTGCGTGTGTTTTTTACCTTTTGTTTTGTGGGCACGTATGTCGGTATCATCAGACGACCCTCCCCACATCCCCAGTCCACATCATGCCACTCACCCAAATAGCATCACCCAGCTCACGTAATGCCACCCGGCCAACATAGTATCACATAGCCGTGCCAAGGAGCGAGTTGGGCTAAGTGTGTATCGGGGCGTTCCTGTGTGTATGCTGTGTGTTTTGGGGCTCTGTGTGCTAGTACCATCCACTCCATATTGTACAACCCACCCCACATAGCACCTCCCGTCCAGCATAGTACCACCTAGCAGACTGCATAGGGGACAGCTTTACATGATGGTGGCAGTGTTTTTCCTTCTTCTTTTGTGGCCGTGTGTGTTAGTACCATCCAGCCCAAATAGAATGACACAGTCCCACATGGTACCGTGCGGTCCACATGTTACCACCTGGCCCACATAGTACCGCCCAGCCCATGTAATACTGCCCACCCCATGTAGTGTCATCCGGCTGTGCCAAGGGCCGAGCTCTGCCTAAGCCTGTGTGTTGCGGACTGTCACCACAACAACCCCTTTTCTCCTCAGATCAGTAAATTCAAATTTGAAACAAGCTGCTTGACCTTAGTTTCTTCTACATGGAAACCTGCTACATAACAGTTTGCATGTAGAAAGTGTCTGGAAGGATTTCTGTTCTGCCGCAAGCGAAGCTGCGGCGGGCAACCACATGTTAGCTATAATTCACGTTCTGAATTTCTGGGTTGACACTCTCCATAATAGAAACGGTTAACCCCACATGCCTGTCCTTTTCCTGGGAAGGGGGGAGGGAGGGGGATAAGGTGTGTAAATGAGAGCTGGCATTTCTGTCACCATGCTTCAATTTCCAGATCGAGGACATAAGTCTGCCGACTGGTCTTTGCACACATGGGACACAACAGAAGAGTGTGCAGCAAAAAATAGATAGGAGACTCCTGAAATGCACAAGTATCGTGGAAGAGAAGGTGCTGAAGATACATCATGTTCCCCAAAAGTGGGAAATTGGCACAAATGAATAGTGAAAGAGGTAAAGAAGACATAACAGCACATATTGAATGCCAGCTGACAAAGATTATGCGTGATGCTCGTAAATCAATACCATAACCCTCCACAAAAAACGAATAAAACGACCACAGATCTGGTATGTAGCCTTGGTTGTTCCCACGCTCGAAATTTGGCAAGGAAAGAAGAAGTGAGGACAGGAATTTGCAATCAGACTCGTCTCATTCACACTTTTCATGCATGTAAACAGCATCGCAGCAAACTGGCGACATGCGCCCACTCAGAACTCAGAGATATGGCAYCCAGATAAGAGTTCACTTCCACTGGCTATGGCRACTCAGCGCCCACAACTCAYTGTTCACATACACCGGATCACCCTGGATATCCCACAYGCACCACTCTGAACACTCRCACAACACACACACACTTCACTCTAAACTACAGCTATGGCAGCGATGGCTGCCTCTACCCTATCGCTATGGCTGCACTTTGTCTCTCTCGCCCACTTCAACTTCAGGCGTCACTGCAGACCTCCTCRCACAAGCCGCTGAGACAGCGCTTCCGYATGGCTTCCGCAGGAATGAATGAATGGYTGTGCGCGGSCTCTTGATTTATACTTYWGTGACTYGTTRGTSTGCCCTTGTTTCCCTGGCCCACGGTGCACACAGYCCCAGGCGGTACTTGCTTGACTGGACCRGACTGACTGGACTGGGACTGCTGACTCTGCACGGTGGACTTCCACCACTTGCCCACTTGCCTCYGCCTAAACTTGGGCAGCCTCGAAAGGCCACCACTGGGACCTTCTAGAAGGCCGTGGACTTGGCCTTTCGGTCCTGTCGGGGCTACGACCTTGACTCTTCAGGACTGGACTAGCTACGACCTTGACCTTTCAGAAAGCTGTGGCTACGACTTCTAAGCCTGGCGAAGACTCCTAACCGACAAGTCTACAGATCAAACCCAGGCTACCTACGGACTCTACGACGACGACCTATCAGCTGTTACAAATACACAGGTCGCGGGTTCAACTCCACGGGTCAACACAGGTACTGTACACAGGTAAGGTGGGAACTAGGGATCGAGCCCTGGGATCTGCATCAGCTACTGCGGGTTGGTGAATACCGTTTCACTCCCGCCGCCCTAAATTCGAGGTCCTCCGAGAATATTTCAGTTCAAGGCAGGACCTTTACCCTTCCTATCTCTTTCGTAGGCCCTGACTACGTCGGGAGCTGTTTCTAGAAGTTCGGTCCTTGTGAACCAGCGGTTGTCCTCTGGTTCCTGGTATGCAAACCTGACTTTATACTGTTTCTGAGGACGGCCTCTACCTCCTGTTCTGAACACATCTTCACCTACAATGCCGTCAATGTCGTACCTCCCGTCCATGTCTGGAGGGATCATGGACCGTCTAGATGGGAACTGGTCACTCACGGTGCATGGCAACAACTTTGAGGCATGGAAAACTGGGTAGGTGTGGAGGTGTGCCGGGATCTCTATCGAGTAGGACGGACCATCCTCTCCACCCTTGACTTCTAGAACTGGCCACGGTCCTCTATATGTGGGCAGTAACTTTTGCGAGATGTTCTCCTCAGGAGCAAACTCTTTAGCCTTGACCCAGACTAAGTCGACTACTTGGAATTGTGAGGGGCGACGATGTTTGTTGGCTTGCTCCATCATCCTATGCTGGGCCCTCCTGAGGTTCTCTACAACAGTAGCTAGTTCCTTCTCATGCTGTATAGCGGACTCCCTAGTACCGGGCGGTAGCCTATGAATCTGATCCCAGTTAAGTCCCTCAAACGGTCTGCGCGCACAAGCGGTTAACGGGGCTTGTGCAACTCGTTGGGAGTGCGGCACGTAGACAAATGCACACTATTGTTGTAAGCACTGGCTACCTTGGGGAGCATCTCATCCCAGTCGACTTTATCTGGCCTAATATACATTCTTAAAACTTGCTGCAGGATCTTCCCCCGATGTCCAGATAGTGAACTATCGCTCCAAAGTAGTCAGCTCTCCTACTCAGAGCGTCCGCAACTACATTATATTTTCCCTTGACTGGCTTGAGCTCAAAATCATACTGGTCTATTTTTGCGGCCCACCTAGTAAGCTTAGGTGTCATCTTGGCCTGCGTCTTTAACCATCTTAACGTCTCGCGGTCAGAATAGACTTTGAAGTGCCTCCCAAGCAAGTAGTGCTTCCAGTGTTCTAGCGCTTGCCTGAGGGCATAGAGTTCCCTCTCATTGGTAGATGTTGCAATCTTCTCTGAAGGCATTCTAGCAGACATGAACTCTACGGGCCTATAACCATTGTCATTCTCTTGCCGAAGAACAGCACCTATGTCGTACTGACTGGCGTCCGTACTGACGACAAAGGGTAAGGACGGATCGGCCACCTTAAGGACTGGATACTCTATTAGTGCCTGCTTCAACTTCTTCATGGCAGACGTGCAGTCCCTATCCCACTTCCAGATGGTTTCTTTCCTTAGCAACTTGCGTAGGGGTGCAGCGGTAGTGGAGAAGTTCCTTACGAACTTCCTTCAATAGTTCGCTAGGCCTAAGAATGACCGCAACTCTGTCAACGTATGCGGTGTAGGCCAATCCCTGATCTCTGCAATCTTACTATCCTCTAGCTTGATGCCGTCTCCGTCTAGGACGTGGCCCAAATACAGAATTTGGGTCTTTGCCCATTCGCACTTTTTTGCGTTGATCTTGAAGTTAGCTTCTCTCAGCTTCTCCAAGACCTGCATGAGATGACCCTGATGCTCTTGGAAGGTCTTACTAAACAATAAGATATCATCCAAGTAAACTACAACAAATCTATCTAAGCACGGCCTAAGCAAATCATTCATACATCGCTGGAAAGTCACTGGCGCATTGGTTAGTCCAAAGGGCATCACTATGAACTCGTAGTGCCCGTATCTTGTCCGGAACGCTGTCTTGTACTGATCATCAGGATGAACCTCTATCTGATGATATCCGAACTTCAAATCTATCTTCGAAAAATATCTGCACCCCTGCACCCGATCTAAAAGACCGTCCATCCTGGGCAGTGGCTCAGCATTCTTAACTGTGATAGCGTTCAGACCCCTATAGTCTATACATAATCTAAGCTCTCCCTCCTTCTTGGGGACAAATAGAACAGGTGCTCCAAACGGAGACAAAATGGGCTTAATCCAACCCTTTTCTAGGAGCTCATCTAATTGTTTGCGCAGCTCCTCCAACTCCCGCGGGGACATCCTATACACGGCTCCCTTTGGGGTCCTACTGCCACGCTCAATCTCAATAGGATGCTGGATCGGCCGCGGTACTACTCCTATCGGCGGCTTTGCTAAGTCTGTGAACTCTTCCAGCAGTTTGGCAATAGCAGGGTCTATAGGTTTCTCTTCCTTAGGCTCAGTAGCTGGCCTAACATAGGTTACAAAAACATGTTCCTCTAGCTGCTCCTTTTTCACTAGCCTTGCGAATGCAGGAGCGCTAAGGCAGCAGGGTGCCAGGGAGTTGTCTACTCCTGACACATGAAACAGGCGCGCAGTCTTGACACCGCCTGATGGACTAGGGAGCCTACACTCGTGCTCCCTCAAGTGGAGTGTGGCCCCTGCTGCCTCTCCCTAGTCCATACCTAGGACTATGTCAAACGGGAGGCTATCCTCTACGAGGAGAGACAAGGAATGGAGAACTTTTTCCACCTTCCCATCCTTTTCTAGGTGGAAATACGCCTGGACTCCCTCTACGTACTCCTCTACTCGCATGGTGCGATTGTCCGCAAGGATACTTACTATGGGGTCCGCTAGTCGTTGGACTTTTAACTGCCACTTCAACTTCTGCAGCGCCTTCCTACTGATATAACTACAAGTGGCTCCACTATCCACTAAGGCGCCCGCTCGGCCTCTAAAAATCTCTGTATCTACTAATATGAGCTGCCCCCTATTCTTTTTCCTCATCTTGGCTCAGGCGGGCATTCTCTCCTTCAATTCCTCTGCCACGCCTGTGAGGGAAGTGCCTAGAGAGACTCTAACACACACAGTCTCTGGGCAGCTATCTAGGCACCGGCCTGCAACTTCTGCCATGGGCTCATGTGGTTTGGGAGATTCGTGCCGGCTTGCTAACTCATCTCCACATGGCCCTATGGTAGGGGCAGTTGCTACCCCTACCGGCGGCTGCCTTTTGCTTCTTGTGCAGCCCAACGAGCCTCTCTATACTTCGGACAATATTTAATGATGTGGCCAGGGTCACCGCAATAGATGCACTGCCCCTGGTTCACACGCTGTTGCCATAAGCGCTGGTCCAGGCCCAGATCTTCCCAAGGCCTGCCTTGTGGCAGCCCTGGGTGCCATCCACTTCTCCTATAAGGGGACCTATTCCCAGACCGGTTTTGGGGGGGACCTTGACCCCTTCCTCCCGCTTGGTGGTTTCCTCCTCTGCCGCCAACCCCCTGATCTCCCTGAGAACGGTTCCCTGAGGCCCGGCCCCCTTGGCCCTGGCCTCGTCCTCCTTGCGGCCTCCCTCCAGCCGCGACAGCAGCCTAGGTCCTCCCTTGACTACTGCTACTATTATCTTCCTCAAGCCCCCACTCTATCTGATCGTAGGGGATCTCGTCGACACTACCCTCGTCTAAAGTAAGGACCAGGCTATCCTTTGTCTTCACTTGCCCTGAGATAGTGCGACCTTTCCACTTATTTCCCTTATCCAAGTCCTTGTGCCAGAAAGTGGAGACTGACACAGACTTTGCTTCAAACGCCACCACTCCCCTACTCAATGAGTCGTAGGTTATGGTGGGTTGCTGGCTCTGCTCAAAGAAGTGCCCACGCAACGACTCGGGCATAGCCCGGTAGAAGAGGTTGACCAATTGGGTGTCTGTGCCCCCATGGTCAGGAACAGCCACCAACTCGTCCATGACTCCCTTGAGTGCCTTGGCACTCCTCCACTGACGAGAGTGGATAGTCTGCAATCGATCAGAGGCTCTGACACTGCGCGAGACATCTGCAAATCGTTCGCGCAGCAACTTAAGATAGTCAACGAGGGGGGTGAAGGCAGAGTACGCAACCACATCGTCGCTGCAATTAGCAGCGCGGACTAAGGAGCGTGCAAAACTGGCGGCTTCTTCCTTTAACACATGGATGGCGATTAGGACTTGCTCATCGGGGGACACCTTCTGCAGGTGCACGTACGTCTTAACGTTCGCCTCCCAGTTGTCAAAGTTTTCTTCCTTCTTTCCACTGTAGGAATCAAGAAACTTAACTTTGACCGGCTCCCTACGGGGGCGTGTTTCCTCTTCCTTTGGGGCAGTCAGCTTGGCGCCTTCAATGGCACCAACACAGTATCGTTCAGTGCCCTCAAGGCGGGCTGTCACATGCGAGCCCACCTGCATTGCCAACTCCCGAGCAAAGTCCCTAAGTCCCGACCGTATCGAACGCACAACAATGTCCTGACCTCTTCCAAATAACCTCCTGGACCTTTGCCAGGCGTTCCACGTTCTCGGCCAGGATCTCTACCTTCCCCAATAAATCTACTTGAACCGCCATCTGATCCCTCTGCTTCCTAATCTCTTCCAACTCTTGCGCCGCCTCTGTTGCCGCCTCCATTCTTCTCTTCCTCTCCTTAGTGAGGCGAAACTTCCACTCCATCCTCTTCTCATCTTCAAGCACTTGCCGCTTGAGTGGGTCTCCTTCAGCTTCCCACTCTCGCACGGCCGCCTCTTGCTCGTCCCTGGGCACATACATTAACGCCTCCTCATCCTCTCCCAGGGTCAATCCTGCAACCCACTCTGAAATCTTCTTCTCCATCAAGTCCTCCTTTGACTCACTGGACTCCCCTCTGTTTCCTCTTCTTCCTTTCTCCAGTAGCTCCTCTTCTATTTCTTCTTCTTCTTCCTCTTCCACTTCCTTTAACTCTGCTTCTTCCTCTTTCTTCAGCCTCTCCTTCTCTCTAGCCATCTCCTCAATATTCTTCAACTTCGCCGCCTGCGCCTCCAGTAAGGCCTTCTTCTTGGCCTCCTTCTTCTCTCTCCTCTCTTTCAGGATGGCAGCGGCCTTTGCTTCCTGCTCGGCCGTGTGAGGCGTGGTACCCGTCCCCGTACGCGTCTCTACCCTACACAAAAACGTGTTCCAGAATCCCAATGGGAAAATGAAACGCCAAAGGGTCCCCCAAAGGGAGAACCCCACGAGCAACCCGTACATCGGGTAATCATCCATGGTGATAGGTGCACGATAGGACAGCCTAGACCTACAGTATGGCTGTCACCACTGAACCAAGGAGATCCCCCGTAACTCCTCAGGAACTCTTTAACGTCGCTGTCAGGACGACGTGATCAACTTGGTTCTGCCTGTTGCACAGCCCGCAACTCAGCCTTTCGGGCCTACCATGCCACACCGAGCAGCCCGCCGGTCTGTACCGGTCCTTGGGAGGGTTCGTGTCCCCCGGGACAGTCGAGTCGCCAGACGCAGTCTTTAGCCTTACTAGGTCCGGTAGGGGTTTGGGTCAACTAGGCCCTCAACACTTAAGACTGCCTGGTGTGTCAGCCCCAACTCCGCCGTTCAAGTCCATCGTGTCACGCCCAATCCGAGCCCCGCCGGTCAGCACCAGTCCTTGGGAGGGTTAGGCCTCCAGGACAGTGAGATTAGACATGGTATTAGCTCTACAAGGTCAGGTAGGGGTTTCGTCATCCAGGCCCTATCCTTCATCCACACAGTACTACCACTTAGGAAAGAAGGGACTCAATGCAGAAAGAAGAGACAGACAGACTCAAACTCAGCAAGTACCGCAGGGTGAGTGCACATCCGTAGGGCGAGGGGATAGGCTAAGGGCTTGGCGAGATGTTACCAACTCCAGGTTGGTCAAAGTCTTGGTCAACAGCTTCGGTCAACGCCTTAGTTAACACTGAGTCAACGCGGACAACCCTCGGTCAACACCCCGGTTTACCCTCCAATCAGTGCCTGGTCAACCCTCTGGTCAATGCTTGGTCAACCCTCCGGTCAGCTATGGCTGCCGGCTCCTTCTCTCTCCCCAACCTTCACTCTCTTTCTCCCCTTCGTCACCCTTCTTCCTTCTCGCTGTGTTTTTTTTTTTTTTTTTTTTTTTTCACCCTCCGCTATGTTTGTCTTCCACCTCGATGTCTCCTCCTTCCTCCTTCTCTACTCCGTCTCCCTTCATCCCCTCCGTGTCCAAGCTCTGCGGCTAGGGCCGCACTCTTCTTCTCCACGGGACTGCACAACACTTCATGGGTAGGGGACAACCAAACTTGTATCGCTCATCTCTCTCTCTCTCTCTCTCTCTCTCTCTCTCTCTCTCTCGCCGTAGCGGTATCTTCAGCGCAGCAGGTATGTAGTAACCCAATCTTGTATCGCTCGACCTCTCTCTCTCTCTCTCTCTCT